TGAGTAGAAAATTAACTATTCGAATGGGTATGCGTGGAAATGTGACAAGAAAACTGAATCATGGGATGCTTTCTGCCCTTCTCAATATTTTAGTTTCAAAGGTTTTTTAGGCATTTTTGAAAAATTCAAAATTTTTGCGTGGTTGACTTTATTCGCAAGTAATTTCAAGTCACGCGGGACTGATACAACCTTTTTTAGAAACCTTGGTCAACCCGCTTTTTATTTATATTTTTTTTACATGATACAGTAATTTCTTTTAAACCTCTGTGCTGGTCCTAATAATTCAACCAAAATCATAGATTCCGAGCGTCATTCGAGATGAAATTTAGTAAATTTTAATTTGACTCATGTGTGGGCTTCGAAGTGGCTTGGAGGTGAACAATATTTTTTCACGAATCAGTTCGATTGTGTTCAGTATATCTTTCAGTATCAAGGCTGAATGGAATGCTAGTTATTTCTTTATTTTTTTAACAATGCGTGAATCAATCTGGGTCAAATTTCGTAGTGGTACCCAGATGTCAAATATTTCGTGCTTGTTGCGATCGAGGTCACCCCGGGGAAAACATGTCATGTCACGGCGTGTGTCGCTTCCTACCCCTGTCGTGTTTCTCTTCGTATCGCAACAATGGCACCATAGAAACGAATCCCGGATATTTTTGAGAACCAGGTTTTCAACTGCCATGTCCAGGAGTTTGTGGGTGTGGTTGAAAAATGGCCCAACCCTTGATGTGTCTCTGTTGCTGGCAAAAGAAAATGTTATTGTTTTTCTCCTGTTTTTTTTTTCTTCTTCTTCTTTTTCTTGCGTGGAAACAACGTGAGTCAGTAGAATTGATGCCCGTGGGACTGCGACGATCGCTTCAAGTTGATCTGTTTGCTCAGCATGGGGGTTCTTCGCAACAAAATGCCGCCCTAGGTTGTGGGTGAACCGTGACCACACTTCATTCCCTGCGAACATGGGTTTTTTAGAGGAAATTTTAGTTCAGAATATTCCATGAAATGTTCCCCCTTTCCTACGCGTATGTGTCAAGAATATGTTTGGTCGGAATTCCGAGGTGTTGTGCGATTTTCTCACGTTCAACTGCGCTGGGGATAAAATTTAATTGGGGCATTTCAACGGTGTGAATTATTAATTTTCTCAGTGCTGGAATGTCTCTTTTCGTTCTGATTGAAAATGCGATATTTCTTGCCTTCTTTGCATTGTTTTGAGCTCTGTTACTTTTTGCAGCGACAGTATTATCGTCGATCCAATGCATGGGAATCATGTGAGATTAGTTGCTCAAGTTTTGGTCCATATATGTTGGTTGTAGCTGGAACACACTAAAAATATCAAGAGAAAAAAAAGTTGTGCAAATGTTTTCCAAGGAAATTTTGGCGCAAAATAAAGGAGATACAGAAAGGAAATGATGATTATTCGGGTGGTTCAATTTCTTTCTCTCTCTCTTTATTTTAAAATATTTTTGCTGCAATGGAAAATAAGATTGATAAATAATCTCGGCTCCTAGTCTTTGTCCATGATGCTATGAGGTTTGGGTAAGAATAATTTTACGACTCGGTCGCGTGTAGCCTCAGGCGATTTCCTCGAATTCGATTAGTGTGGCGGGAATCTGGGGCGCAGTGGGCACGAGCTGCAGTTGCTGTTGGCATTAAATATGAATGGCTTAGCCTTTCGTTGCCTTCGAGCTGGCGGACCTTGTTTTTTTAACTATCGTCATATATTTTTTTTATTATCAATGTTAGCTTGTACAGTTCTTTCCGTGTTACGTGGTTCGAAACTGGGGATTGAAACGACGTTAGCATTAGTGCGTACAAGCACGCTCGTGGCAAGAGTGATCGGCAACCTCAGACCAACTCGACTTGCTTCAATTTCCTGCTTCTTATCTGCAATGGCCGATTTTGCTAGAAGCGAAATTTATTTCTTTTATAGCATTGGTACTGCTATGTGTAGATGAAAAAGTTCAATCAAGGGAGGGCTTGTGAATCAACAGCTAAAATTGATTAGTTTTTTACAGACTTGTATTTGATTGGGCTGACTTTTGTGGTTCTCGAGCAAGAAGTAGTGGAATTACTGTGCTTCATATTGTGGTGAATACACACCCAAGATACTGGACCATCAATCCCTAATAAGACGCCAGCCTTTGTTCATAGACCTTTTTGGATTGGAAAATTCTTTTTTGAAAGTTACTCTATGCAATAAAGAACATTTTCGAGGAATAGATTAATCTGACGTTTTGATTCGATGTATTTTGATTTGACGAAGAAGAACGAATTAATTGCAATCATTTCAATGCAGTATACCTAGATTTGTAGTTGTTTTGGTCATAAATAATTAAAAGGGAAGAAAATGTAAATTAGAAATATCTGTGTGATTTCTAAAAAGAAGCATCCTCATGATTTATTTTCTTCTTAAATCCTGAAGAGAAAAACTCACGATCATTTTCGATATTGGTATTTTAAATTGGTCAAAATCAATGCCCGAGAGCATTTTTTCCCCGCCAATAATATTGGCGAATGATGGTTGGCATCTACTTCAGGTTTCTTATGCTTTCTAACATTAGGGAGATTTGTTTAGTGAAAATCTGACGGTGGTTCTTCATCAGGGGCCTCTTAATGATGTTTGACATTAATTTAATCCTCCTTTTTCGTCTAGTCTATAATTGGAAGCAGGGTCCACTATCCAAAACCAAAGTTTTCGGTAGCAATCTTATGGTACTTACCCAACAAGAAGTACCACACACATTTTTTCTGGGAAATATCGTCAGGAAAGTGGAGTGCGTGTGGTATATGGATATAGTCTACAGTTTTTTTTTATGAAACCAGATTAGTGGTGGAAGTCAGCAGAAGTGGCTTAGTTGAAAAAAAAGGAAATAGCATTTTTTTGGCTTTACTCCTCCTGAAATGCTATATGTTCCTTCATTCAATTCTAAGATTGTTCAGTTGCAGATCATCGTTTGGGTAAAAATATTATTAAAATTTAAAGCTAAATTATCATACAAAAATACATTTAAATAAATAATCGAAATACTGTAGATTATTTTACATCATTATTTGGGTAAAAAGGTATTACATTTTTAAAAACTTGGATGCGGGTATATGTTTTTGGAGAAATTGTGCGCCAAAAAATCGAGGGCACCTCGTACTTCAGTAGATATGGTATTCTGCTGCCGTTAAAAAAAAAAAGAAGGAACCCCTTGTGCGAGTCGTCCATTACGCGAAGTACCACTGTTCGTTTGCTTGATTTGTTTCGGAATCGTTCGTATTGGCATCACAGAGAGAGGTGAGAACGGATTAAAAAAAATAAAAAATAAAACCCGTTGCATATACTGTACTGTATACATGCGAGACAAATGCTTGGCCGCAAAGACGAAGGCGTTGATGGATTCCGGAGTCCGTTCCGGCCCAGCAGCGCGGGGCGCGTGTTGGGGATCCGTGGGAAGGGGGTCCCCCGTTTCGCCTGATGATGATATAATGACTGTCTGCCCGGGCACGATGGGTGCTCAAACTTATGGGTTTTGTCGGAACCCGTTTGCTCCAGTTTTGCCGGGTTGTTGTTCGCCGGCGATGATGATGATGGTGGTGATGATGATTATGATGGGAGGGAGGGAGGGAGGCAGAGCAATAGCCTCGTCGATGACGAGAAAAGGGGCTGTCGCAAAAGCTGCTCTGGAATGAGGAAACGCCTGGCTCAGAAATTGCATCTTGACTGTTTTTTGATAATCTTAAAAAAAAAGTAAACCAAGCTGAGATGTATGTTCCCTGAGATTAAACTCAGAAGTTCTCTACCGCTGTCCACTTCCGCACTAGGACTTTCGAAGGGAAAAAAACAAGTAGATAAAAATGCGTAATCTCAAGAAGTACAGTAGAACCCTTTAAAATTAGAGAATGCCCTTTTGTATGTGTTCGTTTGTAATTCGTAGTAAAAAAAAACTCCATTCTCAATTTTTGGAGCAATGTAAACCCTCCTAAAAACGGAAGGTGGAAATTAACCTTGAAAAAAGTTCCTCTAAATTCATTTTGGCCATCTCACGAGAGAGAAAAAAAAGTGGAGCAACTCCCTTGTTGCTGTTGAAAATTCGTCTGTCTTGAAATTATTCTCTCGTTGAGAACTGGCAGGTCATGAGCTGTCAAATAAAATATGCATTTTTCCTACTCCAAGCGTGATCAAAAATGCAATTTTCCATTTAAATATTCGAGCCAATCGTGCCAAGGTCAAACGAAAATTTTTTTCTTTTTTTCGTGAAGTACAGTACTGTACAGTACAGTATTTAAATTTGAAAATTCAATTTTCAGTCTCTCTAATTCAATAAAAGAAATACATTCGCTGACTTTTGAAGATCGATTTCGCGTGGTCGAATAACCTTACCAAGCAGTTCTTTTGCTCCGTTGAATTGCTCTAAAAAGTTTTAATATTTTCCAATAAAAAAGACATTTACGTTTCCTTTTTTAATCAGTGGCTTGCATGGTTTTCATTTTGAGTGATTGACACAAGAATATTTTAAAATTAGGAAATCGTGTGAAACAACCATTTTGGTCGTTTTTGTTTTTGTTTTAAAGATGGTGTTTTGATGGAACTATTATTTTTTTTTAATTCAGATCATCGCTGGATATTCTCCTACGTGAAAATTCAGACAATTATCCTCTTGATGCGAAACGTCGTCCTACTTGATCATTTGTTGGGAAAATTGAATGAATCGGTTTATCAAGGGATTTTTTGCAGCTTTCATATTTTGTTCCAGCGACGGTAAATTGCATGTTGACTTTTTTTTCGCTGGATCTTTGACTTCTCGTCATTAACTGTATTCAATTTCCGCCAGCCCTCTGGAAATATTCATAATTCTGTGACTCAAACCGTGGTGTTGGTAATTTAAATACAGTGTACTACAGTATTGTCCGAATGTTAACCAAAAATTTTCCATCTCTTGATTATAAGTTTTTCAGCCTCTGATTTTGAAGAATGCTTCGCGTGATGATTCCAACTCAGCGTGCATGGGTTAAATTCGAAAATGGGTTCGTTGGTTGCGGTCGTGAGAAACTTGCTGTCGGCCCCTTCTTCCGAGTGGCCTGAAACCCCCAGGCTATTACTCGGAAGTACTGCTTTTTTAGTATTCCGTGCTCATTGTTGTTGCCTGCATCATCGGGCTTCGGGTTTAACTACGCGGTACACCCGCGGAACGACTTAATCAAGCGGCGAAGCAGCCGGGTTAATGAGATGTGAAAAAGGCTTTGCACTTTTTCCTTTTTTTTTACGGGGGTTGCCCGGGTCATTTTCGCGATCATAGGGGTGTAGGAATTGTTATTCTCTGTATTTTTCCTTCCTTGCCACGGACGGAGTATCCGGTTCGAGATTGATTCCCACTCGGGACAGGCTACAATTAATTTGATTGTATGGGCGGGCTCAGTGAAATACACTTGGAATGTGATACTGTACTATGTATAGACTCGCCGACAATTTCTCAACTTTTCCTGCGATACTGTACACAAATACTGCACAGTATTCAATTACCGCAGTATTCAATTCAATTTATTCAATTGCACAGGTACAGGTGGTACCTCGCAATTTGACCCTTAATTATCCGTTGCCAAACTAGGGTCAAATTGCGAAGCGGTCGAATTGCAAGGCACTGTGAAATTCAAAAATATCAGTACTAAAGCGTGAAAAAAGGGGTCAAAGCAGGTCGAATTGCAAATTAACCTCCCTGCAAATTTGACCGTCGAATTGCGAGGTACCACATGCACTCCGAAAATAGACTTCGACGGAAGTTTGATAATTCCTGAGAAAATCGCGAGTGGAGGCGTGTTTTGTACAAATAAATAAGGTATTTAGCAAGGAATACTTCCGCAGTTTTAAGAACGTCGATATTATCATCGTTTTTTTTTCGAATCTTGGTTTTTGCATGGTGGACAAGAAATCGCAGACTTTATCAAGCTGTAAGATGAGAAGCCTACAATTTAAGACGATGCCAGGATTTTTGTGGTTCTAGTTACATTGGTATGACCAGCAAAAATATTTGAAAAGTACCACTGAGAAAAGTTGCAACATTATTTATCATGATATTTCGTGGAGCTTCATAAGAATATTTCAATTTGCCTTTCTTGGGAATTTTTGCAGCTGCCATCCAAGCAATACCATTTTTGCGGTCGAGTGAGATTATTCAGATTAATATTCCAAGAGTTCATGCGATTTTTTTTCTTGATTATCACCCAGATTCACCCTGAATTGTTAGCCAATTCATTCGAAAAGTGAAAAGGTCACATTTATCTAAGCCTAACTTTTTGGAAAATGTGATGAGAAGTTTTAATTTAAACGATGTTCATATTTGAAAGTTGCATTAAGTAATCTAATGGGGACGATTTCAAATTTGTGTCCCGTCGTCCGTACTCTCCCCTGAAATTTTTCAATTTCTTTTGAACTAGAGAACTTTAGAACCGAGTTTTCTCCGCCCAACTGACTCTTGCAGCTAAATAAATTATGCTGTCAAACTCGGCCCCATCATCAGTAAATGAAGAGACCCGTGCTCTGTATGGGGTCTATTCGAGCTGTGCTACATTTCTGCTGCTTCTTTAATGGACTGTACTCTACTTTGTGAGAGAGAAAATATGACATTCTTTGCCAGAATTTATGGCAGCCCTGTCAGGTCAGCTGTTGATTCTTCTGATTACCCGCCGCCGCGATATTTTTTTAGCTTTCGTTTCGCTTTGTGTTCTGAGCTGTGTTAAAATGTTGCGATACGTGGTTTATTATGCAAAATCTATCCTGTCATTTTTCTAAATCGATTTGGTTACATTTCAATGCGGTATTGTACATGTGCATCGTTTTGAGATGCCCCGGATGGCTTAAGAGGCGCATTTTGTTATGCGGGAAGCCACTGTATTATTTTCATCAACTTCAGAAGAATCTGTTTCACTTGACGAAAATTCTGCAGAAAGAAACCGATTTCGGGAAGGGTTGTTTTCGTGCGGGGACCAACTGTACTATGTTCAGTAACTTCGAGGAAATCCTGTTTCACATAACGAAAATTTTGTAGAACGAAAAGCGTCAAGGATGTTATTTCTTCCTTGTATGCAGGGACCCACTCTATTTCGTTCTGTGACGTCGAGGAAATCACGTCTCACGTGACGAACATGTTTCATTATAAAACGGAAGGAATTTATCTTCGTTATGCGGGAACCCACTGTATTATGTTCATTAACTTGAAGAAGATCATGTTTCTCGTAGCGAAAATGTTGCAGAACTACAGACTAAAAAAGCATCCAGGAAGTGGTTTCTTTTATTTATCCGGAGGCCGAGTGTATTGTATTCATTAACTTCGGGGAAATCATGCGTCACATGAAAATTTTGCATAACGAAGCGCATCCTTTGTTGTTGTTATACGGGGACTCATAACAGTCAGTTTATTATGTTCAATTGCCTTCAGAAAAATCGTGTTTCACGTGACGAAAATTTTGCAGAACGAAAAGGCATTCAGGAAGGAATTCATTAGTATTATAAATTTCTCATGCAGAAACCTCGCTGCGTTATTTTCATTAACTTATCAGGGGAATCATGCGTAGCATGAAAATTTTGCACAGCAAAGCGCTTCGGGCAAGGGGTTTATTTTTGTTGTACTGGGTTTCATAACGCTGACTATTTACCTGAGGAAAATCATGTTTCACGTAACGAAAATTTTGCAGAACGGAAAGGCATCCAGGAAGGGATTCATAAGTATTATCACTTTCTCATGTAGGAACCCCGCTGTGTTATTTTCATTAACTTCACGGGAATCATGCGTCACGTGAAAAATGTGGAATGGTGGAATAACGTCGTAATTCCATCACTGGTTTACTGTCGTCAAGCCTATCCTGGAACAAACTCGTAAAAAAAAAATTTTCCCGCACTTCACAACTGGACCAACCTCGTACAGCAAAAAAAAATTCCCCAAGTCCGAACATCTCGGGTAATACACAAAGACGAGGTTATTCCTGACGACCATATTCTGCGACGAGTTTAAATCGCGACGAGATTATTCCAGGCTGACGAGGTTGGGCCTGACGACGTTATTATTCCAGCCACCCAAAAATGTTGAACAACGAAGCGCATCCGGGGAAGGAATTTCTCTCTTTTTACGCGGAGACCCATTGTTCTGTACAAGTTATCACGTTCTGTGCTTTATCGTACTGCTCTGCATCTTATTTATTAAGTTTCCGTTTGTTTTTTTTCATCGTGTTCAGGAAATATGTCTGTACTTGGACGAGGAGCGCAACAGTCAGACCGGGGTGTGCGGCAAGTGCAGCGGGCCGTTGCTGGAGCAGGTGCGTGACGACGGCGACGGCAGCAGTTCGAGCACCAACGCGGACGAGCCGTCGCCGCCGGCGTCCAGCAGCAGCCCCAGCAAGCTCAGCCTGTCCACCAGCAAGTACCAAACAAGCAGCAGTAAATCGGCGACCCCGAGTGGAAACACCGGCGGCGGCGGCGGTGGCGGCAAGAAGACCGGCTTCCCGAGAGACAGAGATCCGGTTATTGAAGAAACGCTGCAGCGTCAACGATCGCTGTTCAATGGTGAGTCGGGACTCTTATTTTTATTCTTTTTTTTTTGCAATTGGGGCCTTCTATTGTACTCGTGTGCTCATGAAGCAGGTTACTTGAACCAAGATGTTGGGCCTTCGACGAAAGCCAATTTTAGATTTTTTTTTTCTATTCGTCAAACTTGAATAGATCAATCTGCTATTTTTCAGCCTTCAATACCAGAGGTGCAAACTATTTTAAGATTTAGGCGGGGCATAACCGGGGAAGGTCTGGGTTAATTCTTTGAGACCCTCTCAAGAAATCTCAAGGAGCATCTTGAAAATTGAAGTTACTTGAAAATTAAGCATGGAAATAAAAAGTAATTATGATGCATCGTTGGCTGATTTTTTCTTGATTTTTATCAATGGTAATGAAAATTAGAAAATTTTATTTTTTCTGTGGGGATGCGGGGAATAATTCGGACAATCCATGTGAATGCTTCAATATGCTTCAAAATATTCTATACTGTAGATCCTTCGAGTATTGTGTAAGAAAAAAAATTGATTGCATTTGGAACTTGCACACACCCGACTTTGAGCTCGAAAATGCAACTTAACTTGGAATTCATTCCAGCGGATGGAAAATTCGAGCTTTTTGTTGTAACTGTAAAATCGTGTTACAATGCTGTCGTTGGGACTGGAAAAAATCTTTGTTATAACAAAATAATTCGTTTTAGAGAAATTCGAATACAATTTGGTCGCGGACGCCTGAAAAATGCATATTTGTCTAAAGCAATAATTTGTTATAATCAGATGTGTTTTACCAGTATTCTACTGTATTTTTTCTACGTTTTCTAAACTCAGATTTTACCGTGAAAATAGGTATGATTAAAAACTTGAACGTGTTAAATTTAGTGAACGTGTTTCTTCAAGACTGATGTAAACGGTCAATTGAAGTTCCAAAAGTGTGAAAAGATAAGACCTGGAAAATTAAGCGGAAATAAAAACCGTGCTGAAAAATTAAATACACCAATAAAAGAGACATACGGCAAAACGATTTCATACCATAAATGCAAATGCCACTAACACGTGTAAATATTTTAATATTGTGTGACGTCATCACTCAAAAACCGCTTATAAACCTGCTTCGTTACGGCGAAAATTTCTTGCTTTTTCTTTGTGCATCGCCCACGTTGAAGTCCACATATCCTGGTACCTTTCATTTATCAGAGAGGGTTTATTGAGACATGATTTTTGTGCATAAAAAAAAATTACGAGCTCTTCCCGGTGCATATGTGCATTAAAAGCGTGTTCAAGAACCATCGAGAGCCTCTTTCACAAGAATATTTCTTCCTCAATTTTTAATGAACCCCCCCCCCCCCCGGAGTACTTACTTTTTATGAGGGGATTTTCGGAGGTCATTAAATTTTTGCATATTCTGCAGTAAAAGGGGTCGGAAATTCAGAGAAATGGAAACTTTTTGTCGAAATGAAATCTCTTTTTCTCGTTCCTCTCTTTTATTAACACAATGAAGGGTCGGACCACATTACTAAAAACTTATTAGTAAAATTACTACGTAGAGCTAATAAGACTACGTAAGTATTCTACACTCTTCACGCTCGCCCAACAAGGTAAGGCAAGGACACGGAAGTGATGTGCTTTTTTCAATTCCTATTAAAGAACAAGGGAGACTCATGGAAAAATACGATGCGTCATGATTAAAAATTACTGTGTGTATTATTCATGCCCTTCTTTTCCTGGCATATTTTTGAAAATTTTATGAAACGTATAAACAGAAGTTTTCCACGAAATATAGTTTTAAAAATTTGACATTTATTCCCGCGAGCGTAAAGAATTAGTATAAAACCGGATTTTCTCGAGATTTTAAATTAGTAGAGTAGTACTGTAACAGTTCCAGAACCTGTATTTTTTGTATTTCTTTTCGCTCGATTTTCTCAAACTGAATGCAGGCTCATTTTCCGATGCATTTGTTTCATTTTGAACAAAATAACCTTTTTTATTGAATAATGTTTTTTTTTATCGATTTCCGTTCCGCGACAAAATTGGCGTAACCCCGGTTCAGTCGCTGGAGAACAATTTTGAAATACACTGTACTTATTATACCGCACTTCAAAACTCAGCGAGTGCCTCGGAGTATTTTTTTTCTTTTCTCTCTCTCTTTCTTTTTAAGCTTGGCAGTGATGATGGGCACAACTTTTCATGGCGTCCTGTGGTACTTTTTTATTTATTTAGCTTTATTTAAAAACGACAGCTGCTTGCACATTATAAGAGCAAGGAACTTGGGGCAGCAATCGGAAAGTCCATGGGACAGGAGTTGGCCTACTGTACTCAAAGGGACTCTTACGTGCACAAGGTTCATGGAACACTATACTCTTTTGTTATCGGAGAGTCGTTACTTTTTTTTATTTTCATTGCCACAAGCAGTCATCGGATCTCGAGTTTCCTTGTAATTTTTTTTTAACTCAAGATTTGCATGTCGAATCGTTCGGAAGAAAGGCCCTGCGCTTCGAAATACTGTAATTCTCGCTAAGATGACACAAGAAACGGTTTTCTATGGTAATTCGGAATTTTTCTACAGCTGAACTCCCGATTATCCGCGTTCCTGGTCGGATTTCTGATGATCGAAAGCAACAGATGATTGACGATAAAATAAACATTTGTGTAATAATCATTTGACAATACCGGAGGACTAAAGAAAGCCGATAATTTTTTCAATTGCAAGACTTCTTAGAAGGTCGAGTTATCACGTTAATGGAAAAAAGGCGAATCATAATTTAAAATCATATTTCTGTTTTATTGTCCAAGTTCGTGCGTTTTAACAACAAGGAACGTTTTAGGTAGCATTTGTGAGTCAAATTCAATGGGAGTATTGACAGGAAGGTTTCTGATGATTGTCCTGGTTTCGCACGCTTTTAAATAATACGCAAGACGAATAAAATTTTGTCGGGATGACTGAAAATTGTCCCGACGATTTCCATTTTTTTTCTTAATGGACGAAAAACGAAAGAACATTTTCAGTTTTGGCAGAATTTTTCCCTCTTTCGCTCGCCTTTTTTGGTGTCGCAAGAATATTTTTTTCTCGGGTCAATTGGATTCGCGGTCGGTGAAAGTACTGATTAAAGAGTTTGTGATGGAAATAAAAATCATGCAACATAAAAAGTTTTACCTTTTGAATTTTGTTTTATTTATTTTTTAGAACAAATCCTGACGTACATCAAAACCCTTGAAGAACGTTTGGCCCATGGAACGAATAAGCGTGACGGCAGAACATCTGCGACGGATCACCTCCAACACCAGCAAGTGCAGGCGAATCGCGATTATCTGAGATCCATCAGCCTGGGGATGGACGCTAATTGCGACTTTGTAAGTGAACTTATCTTTTATCGTATATTCTCATCAAGATGTGTGCGGTATTCCCCCGACTTTCCTTTTCCTTGTTTTTTTGCTTTGAGCCGAGTTTGGCCGTACTGCACATAAAATACTCAAGAAAGTTCCCAGTGGTGCTCTCTGACTCTTTGCTTTCTACTGACCCTATTCACACAACAACAACAACAAATTAATGCGGATGCAGTTTTACGCTTTTCCGGGGAAAAGTTTTGAGAAAGTTCGGTGTGAAGGAATGAGTCCGAATAATTACTCTGTTTTTATTAGGAAATCTTAAGAGGATTTGAATAAAAGCACAGTCCATTAAACACTTTAAACGACGTCAACCACGTGAGTGAGAAGAAAGAAAAAATTTTGGGTGAGTGAATAAAGTTGTTTTTACAAGCCATTTAAAATAAGCAGCTACATTGGTACCTGCAAATTATCAAGTTTTTTTTTCTTTGAATGCTTGAGCTTGTTGAAAATTCAAAGTAATGCTTGAACGTGTCAATTATTGACATCAAGGCGGAGTTTCTTGTTTCTCACTTCAATGTTGATGATCAACCAATGGGATGTGAGAAGAACGAGTTTTATTCAGCTTCCGGTTTTTAGATACAGGATTAGAAATTTTATCAATACACAATATATTGTAATTTTGGTTAAGGCGTATTCAAGTTGATCTTGTTTCCGTTGAAATTCAGGAACTATTTTGTTGCGTCGATAAAATTTCTGGATCATGACAATTGCGTGAAGTTTATTGTTTGGTCCTGCTATAGTCCTTTTTTTTCATGCTGAAATGCTTATAACATTATCGAGTGAGGATTTTTTTAAAAATTAATTTGATCAGATTTCTAAGCGAATATGCAGTATTTTGTAAAATATTTGGACCCGAGTCTTCTTATTGATCTCGAAATTCATTCAACAATTTTCAAGCAAGAAAATTTTTAAACGTTTGATCAGGTTTTTAAGCAAGTATATTTTTTTTTAATATTTGGACATGAGTCTTCTTATTGGCCTCGCAGTTGTTCGCGGGATTCTTGCTCAGAAACGACAAGTTCATTTTAAATTTACTGGAAAATGTTTTGTCTTGTGTCTTCGTTAAAACTGCTATTTATCTTGTTCAACTTCGATACAATTGCAATAACACGTGTCAATTGCACTGTATCTCTCAGTACCGTAAAAGTTCGCTAAAATTACTTCTAATTCGAAGGTTGCCAGAAAACGTCAAGTTACTTGACCCGCAGGGTTGCAAGTGGGGAAATCGTTCGCAATACTGTATAACCAAGGCTTCATTTTTCATTAATCGTGTTAACTTGAAAACTCGGCCAAATAATGAAAACTGAATGTAAACTTCATTTCACTGTCAAACCTTTCGACGCCTATTGTGTCACCGACAAGGTTTTCCTCGTGGTCAACATATTCAACTCGATCGTAACGTAGAAAATATCGACTTCTTTCATTTTCGTACTCTCAGTAGCATTATCTCATTGGAAAGCACGTCACTTTTCTGTCTCGTAAAACTTGTCAAAGACGGTTTTGTAATAAGATGTGAAAATCACCTTTATAAAATTTTTCGTTTATTTCATTTTTCAGTTGGGACCTGGAAGCACGGGCACAGGGTCGGACATAGAGTTCGTCGATGGTGACTCCGAGTGCACGTTTCCGTTGTCCCGNAAACTTATTTTCGTGTCAGGTAATTTGTGAAATTTGCTGCAGTTGGTGCACTCACTCTTCTTTCTTTTTTAAAACCCACTCACTTATTTCAACAAAAATGTTCGGTAAATTTTATTCGTCGATGTAATGTACCTGCAAATTATCAAGTTTTTTTTCTTTGAATGCTTGAGCGTGTTGAAAATTCAAAGTGATGCTTGAACGTGTCAATTATTGACATCAAGGCGGAGTTTCTTGTTTCTCACTTCAATGTTGATGATCAACCAATGGGATGTGGGAAGAACGAGTTTTATTCAGCTTCCGGTTTTTAGATAAGGGCAGGATTAGAAATTGTATCAATACACAATATATTGTAATTTTGGTTAAGGCGTATTCAAGTTGATCTTGTTTCCGTTGAAATTCAGGAGCTATTTTGTTGCGTCGATAAAATTTCTGGATCATGACAATTGCGTGAAGTTTATTGTTTGGTCCTGCTATAGTCCTTTTTTTTCATGCTGAAATGCTTATAACATTATCGAGTGAGGATTTTTTTTAAAATTAATTTAATCAGATTTCTAAGCGAATATGCAGTATTTTGTAAAATATTTGGACCCGAGTCTTATTGATCTCGAAATTCATTGAACAATTTTCAAGCAAGAACATTTTTAAACGTTTGATCAGGTTTTTAAGCAAGTATATTTTTTTTTAATATTTGGACACGAGTCTTCTTATTGGCCTCGCAGTTGTTCACGAGATTCTTGCTCAGAACGACAAGTTCATTTTAAATTTACTCGAAAATGTTTTGCCTCGTGTCTTCGTTAAAACTCCTATTTATCTTGTTCAACTTCGATACAATTGCAATAACACGTGTCAATTGCACTGTATCTCTCAGTACCGTAAAAGTTCGCTAAAATTACTTATAATTCGAAGGTTGCCAGAAAACGTCAAGTTACTTGACACGCAGGGTTGCAAGTGGGGAAATCGTTCGCAATACCGTATAACCAAGGCTTCATTTTTCATTAATCGTGTTGGATTCTAACTTGAAAACTCGGCCAAATAATGAAAACTGAATGTAAACTTCATTTCACTGTCAAACCTTTCGACGCCTATTGTGTCACCGACAAGGTTTTCCTCGTGGTCAACATATTCAACTCGATCGTAACGTAGAAAATATCGACTTCTTTCATTTTCGTACTCTCAGTAGCATTATCTCATTGGAAAGCACGTCACTTTTCTGTCTCGTAAAACTTGTCAAAGACGGTTTTGGAATAATATGTGAACATCACCTTTATACAATTTTTCGTTTATTTCATTTTTCAGTTGGGACCTGGAAGCACGGGCACAGGGTCGGACATAGAGTTCGTCGATGGTGACTCCGAGTGCACGTTTCCGTTGTCCCGCCCGGAAGCCGTGGTGAAGGCTATGCGAGTGCTGGAAGTGCACAAGCAGTTAGAAAAGGAAGATCCTTGCGGGTCTGAGTCCCCTCAATGTTCTGCAAACACTGCTGCAAATGCTGGGAGTTCATCAACTGGTTCCAGCAGTGTCCACGAGTCCATCAGCAAAGACCACCAGCAGCAGAAGTTGGGCGACGAGGAGAAAGCCCTGCTGCGAGAAATGTGCAACGTAAGAGCACCATTTTCTCACACCTATGTTTATACATACGCTCCTTATGACGAAGATGGCGAAAACAAACGATTAGTCGAGGAGAATTTGAAATTTTAGAAAGCAAATTGAAGTTTTGTCATCAAGTAAGACAAATGCTATAATGCCGTGAACAACAAGAAAAAAATAATATTCAGCTGGGAAATGTTACCAATACAAGTTGAACCTCTTCAAGGGACCAGTAAAATTTTGAATTCAGGAAAAACAAGCCTTTTTGTTGCGGGAAATAAAAACGAATTACAGGAAATTTCAATTGGTGATATTCTGGGCCTTAAATAGCTTCTGAAATCATTTGACAGGATGCTGAACTTGGAGACAAGGCTTTATTTGCCCAATTAATCTTTCACTTCTTTTCAAAATTAATGAAGTTACATTTTCAGTGCTTTTTTCTTTCCTGTGTCAATAAAATGATAGTCAGAAGGTCAGAAGGACTCAAGAAAATTCGAGTTATGTTGGAGATTTGAGGGGGGAAGCCCTTGAGTTTTATGGAGATTTTTAATACATTGTTTCAAAGGGAACTCAGACATGAACTTGAAATAAATTTGACTTGGGCAGCAGGTTGGAATTATTGAGGTTTTAACTTCACCTCTTGAAGAACCCAAAATTTTATTTGGATGGCTATTGTGTGAGGAGCGACACCTACGGCCGAGATTTATGGAACGCAGTAGAATTTTTGGAATTGACTCGATGACATCATAGCCGAACACGAGCACAAGAAAAGTTCAGTTAGATCTGATTTTGCTCCCATATACTGTACTGTAGCTACAGCTTAGCGTATATATGGTGCTTCAGGGACTTTTTTGAATTATGAAAATGAACAATTATTTTTCTGCTAATTTCAGATGGTTTGGAGGAAGCTTGAAGAAGCTCCGCAGAGACAAGCCGTGGATTCAGTATGAAACTTGCCTTATTATATTGCCAGCCATGAAAACGGACCATTTTAGGCGTTTAATCTGAAAATGAAATGAAGTGAAGATTGGAGGCGTTGAAATTGAAAGGTCGCCGCTCCTTGTCTGCCATATGGACACAAAGTGCATCCGCTTTTGTCCTCTGAACTGATTCGTAAATGATTGATAAATGATGATTCATGTAAAAGACGATGCCATATTTTAGTCGTGTTCTGTTTTTTTTCCTGGTCTTGGATTTATTTTTCTTGCCTTCTTGTTTCGTCGGGGAATCTCATATTTTGACGGAGAGCAAGAATGTTCAATTCTGCAAGCGGGGTGATCATTGCTAAATCCGCATCCATGGTGAAATCCGCTGTTTTTCGCACCTACCTTGGGATGTTTTTTATTTCTCTCTGCATGTTGCGAAATTTTGCGCGAAAATCGCGCTCCAAGTCCGTCCGTTATTGCTTGTGATTGTAACCGGTTTCGAAATCCTGCTGCCTTCATCCGTGGCTGTTCGTCGGCTCAGGGGAAAGGCAGATTTCTTCAGTGCTGGTTGTTCGAGCTGCAAAATTATTTTATTGAAACTTCAAAACAAAAACAAAAAAACAAATCGTAGCTGATGGACTGATCATGGGAATATATGAATTTATTTTCCTTTTATTTCGTGTTGAATTATTTCGTGTCATTTTCGTTCAATCGCATCCGAATTATTCCTTTCTTATTTACAGCCTTGAAGAAAAAAAATATTTTACAAGATTTGCTTAGTGCAGGTAATTACTGTATTACAAAATATCGCACATTTTCTGAAAAAGCTTTTCTTGTAAATGATGCTGAGCGTGTTTCTAATTTACTTCTCAAATTTTTTTCTTTCATTTTATGGAATCCTCATTAACTGCAGAGGGTCAACATTGCTGCATATTCCGCCAGTTCTATTGGATCATCATAAATAACTATTCATTATTTCACGAAAGAGAATTTTATCGATTTAAACATACAAATAGATTAGCAGAACTCAGTCTTCTTTGTCGTCATTCTTATTAGTGGTTTGTTCATTTACGTTTGGAATGCTTTGAAAATTGTTAGCGTCAGTTTAAAATTTGATGGCGTTATTCTCTTTCAGCAGCAAATACTGTACTGTTTATACTGTGCAGTAGATATTTTGTGTGGGAATCCACAGTAGAGCATTCATTCTTCTTGCTAAATGCGCCATGATGAACAGAACATTTCAGGAATGTCACCCTGCACAATGCAGCACTTCCGCATAAGGTGATGAAAGTTGCAGGACATGCATAATTAACAGCCATGAAGTACAGTGCATAAAGGAAAAAAAGTTTCTCCAGTGAATTTGATAAAATTGCTGCTACCGTATTATTCGGGATCTAGATTTTTTTTTAGTTGAAATTTTGTGGGAAATACCTGAAAGTCCATAGTAAAAAATGTGCAACAGGTGTATGGTGTATAAAGTATAATTTATTATTGCATGTCTTGCATAATGACCCAAATTGTGCTGTCCATACTGTAGTAGTGTAGTGTATACAACTCTGTAAAAATGTTAGAAGCGACATCTACAATAAGAAATGTTAAACGATCGTTGCGTTTGCGGTATGACAGCTGAGGGTCAGAGTTTCCAGTCATGTTCGTGGTCGCCTGTAGCGTTAGGTGTAAACTTTTCCGGTAGAGGTTGTGTGAGGATTGAATTGTAAGCTGAATTTAATCTGAGGAACTTCTTTCATTTTTACTTATCCGTCTTTTCGTTGTGATGAGAGTGGGAATTTGTTCGTTGGATTGAAGTGACAGTGATGATGGAAGTATTTTTGAACGGCTGATTTCATTTTAAAGATGCCCGTAGGGAAAGTAAGATTGCTTTTGCTCTGAAATTCCCCGTTATTTGTTAAACTTCATCGAGCCGTGAACTGATCATCCTTGTGCATGGCCAGTTTAATGGGTTCTGAAATACCCAAAGCCATAAAATTTACTGCGAGCTATGACTGGACAGACATTACTAAGGACTTCTGGGAGTCTGCAAAAGGTGAGTTCTTAAACTTCATTTCTGGCATGCCGCAGTTTTCCAACTAATCGAGACATTCTCATCCAGAACTCTCGTTGGGAGAGCTTATTCACGATGAAAACTTCGGTCTGTTCGAGGCGATGTCCGCCATCGAGATGATGGATCCGAAAATGGATGCAGGAATGCTTTGTAATCGTGCCAGTAAAGACCGAGCTCTATCGTATGAAGAGGCCGTAAAGGTTGGTATATCACCGTATTTTGCAAGTACTGTGGAGGGTAAAGGTATTGATTGAGAATCCCTCCCAACAGCGAAACAAAATCAAACTGACGGAACTCACCCCGAGCGAGTGCATAGGAATTATTGATGGAACTTTTGCCTGCCTTGTGACATGGCTAGAAGGGCATTCTCTGGCTCAAACCGTTTTTACCAACTTGTACCTCCATCGTCCATTTGAAACGTCGGATGTGGTTATGAGAGGATTTTCCTTGACAATCCTGAAGTTGATCGATTTGCTCATCAACTTCGTCACGAGGCAAGTACCTATGTGGATTTTCGTTTGTTCATTTCTAGCTGAGACTTCCCCTTTTTTCCTTACAGGGCTTCCGTGTTCGAAGAAGAAGATTTTCAAGCGATGACCTACGGTTTTGGTCTGTGTAATGAAATTCCAATCCACAAAGCATCCCTTTTCTTGAAAGATGCCGAAGACTTCGTTGGTAAAGCGAAAGGAGATCGCGCTTCGGAGGACTTAAATGAGATTCGACTCCTGGATGCCTTGGCTGCTCGACTGCGTTTTACTCGTATTTTCTATCAAGTATTCGTTGCCCTTGGAAAGCGGGAGTGCTCTGGCCTCTCGCAAGCCATCAAAGCATCTGCACTGTGTGCGGATATTGGTCAGAGTCTGAAAGATTCTATATGTCTAGGTTCTCAACCTGAGACCAATCAAAGTTTTCCTGAAAGTCGAGGTAAACAAGTTTTTTTCGTCATCCCCATTTTAAATGCCAACCGCAATGACGCGCTGTTCACTTCACGTCTCAGTACATTTTGTTAGCAACATTCATCTAAAAAGTTGGGCATCATGTTGGACATCAAGATATTGAGGTTTAGCATACTATTTGTCACGTTCTCGAATGTTGTCGTAAAATTATTTTTTTTTTCTTCATCGCTCGAAGCGTTGCGCACTGAAGGGGAGGTTTCTGTCAAAAGATGACGGATCATTTTAATTGATAATTTTGGAATATCGTTTCCAGTTGATTACCCGACAGTCATGGGATTTGAACCACTAGTCAATCAGCGACTGTTGCCCCCGACTTTCCCGCGTTTTACCAGAATAGTGCCTCGTGACGTAGCGTATGATCGACTCACGTCGCTGATGAATCGACTGAAGACAATATCTGGTGTGTCCCCAAATTCTTCTTTTCCTGCTTCCTTGGTAAGTTGTGTTTTTCTTACTCCAGACTTTTTTGAAGCTTTAATTTATTCTTTTTTCTTTAAAGGATTTCATATCGGAATTTAGTGCTCAGAGTCCGTGCGTTGTCAGCAGATCCGTGATGAAGTTGACGTTTTTGCCGCAAGGAACTGAGCTCTTCGGGCTTCATCAATTGACCGAAGTTTTGCGCGATGCCTGTCGAGATTTTATCTCGCCTCCGATTTTGACGAACAAAGCTTTCTCACAGGCCCATCCTGAGGTAATCGCGAGTTTAATCATACGTATAGGACTCTTCAGTTTTATTGCTTAGGTTATTGAGAAGAATCCTTAAATTCGATCACTTCGATTGAAATTGAAGATTTACAGAGATTCGAATACATATGCGAAGTGATGGTATTGGAAACCCTAAGTTAAGTAAGCCCAGCAGGGTGGTGTTGAATGCCAGTGAATAATTATCAAGTTAAATTATACGTTCTTCGAGAATTGCATTATTTTCTGTTACAGTTCTGAGGAGAATAAATCTTATTTGGAGAACACACTTTTCGTTTCCATAATATGAGGTAGTCTGACGATTACATTCTCAAAATCTTGCATGTGACATTTTCTTTCTGACGCATTCTAAGGTTTACGTTGAAGTTCTGTGTTGAGGTTTCATTCGATTAAAATCAACGAAGAGTTCATGAAAATGATCAGGTTTCATCCTCATGCAATAAAAATGTATTGGTGAAACCTATCGTGTTTTTATGCTCTGAGAATGGAATTTATTGTGCAAAGCTGTTTGAAATGATACCAAAAGACGACTTACTTTTTTTTTTTTTTTTTCATCAGGTCTATTTTAATAATATTGTAGTACTTGACTGTAATTAATTGCGGTTTTCATTTCTTTTTTCTCGTTAGACCCGGGAATCAGTGAACACGTTCTTCTGCGTATGTTCTCGGCCATTCACGTTTCTCATTCAAGCCTTGAGTCATAATCGAGCCCGATTACGAGATAGACTGGGCCACCTGTTGGAAGACTTTGCTGCGTTGCAAGACGAAGCCGACAGAGTTGACCAGCTCTTGAACTCTTTGTGGAACCAGACTTATGGCGATCAAACGCCCGGCGGTTCACACACTCATTTGGCTTGTCTTGGGACGTGGATTCTACATCATACGTTGAAGATCATGGTTACGTTTCTCCTGACTGGATTCGAATTGGAGTTGTACTCGGTCCACGAATACCATTACATATTCTGGTGAGTAGAATGCGGTTACAATCTTGCACGTGCGAAGTCCGACTGCCCAGTATGTTCAGATACAGTATTTGAAGTACTTGGACATTTTTGGCTCTATTCCAGGTACTTGCACGAATTCTTATATGGATGGGTGGTGTCGGCGTTCACGCGTGCAGAAATACTTGTGATGGAGCAGGACAAGTTTTTGGAAAAGCAAATTTTGCAGAATCAGAAAGGCAAAAGTGGAAAGAAGTCTTCGAAATCGAAAAGGAGACGTACGAAGCCGTATGAAAAGGAAATCCATTTTAACCAGGCCTTACAGGACTTGTGTGGGGGCTATTACAAGGTTTGTATGACTGGGTTACTTGTTTTTTTCTCTCTCAAATGGTGTTCTGTCAATCAGGAGGTTAATCGGAAAAAAAATTCGATATTTATAAATGCTTCTAAGCCCTTATTCCCCGGGTTTGCAATGCAACTTCGATTTTTTTCTTCTATTATATAGAATGAAGAAAATTTCATTTCTTTAGGTAATGAAAGGACTGAAACTTGAAGGAAAAATAGACCAACCCTTCGACGAGTTCGACAGTGAAAAAGTACGATACGAGCATCGTTTTGGTCCTTTTGCGGCTGTGACGACGCCCCCCGTTGTGTCTTACGAACAGTTCATCCATATGACCTCGATACTGAATGCGCAGGGTGAAAAACCTACCGCAAGAGAGCTTTACATGGATGCGTCGCGATTTTTTGGCCAAGCCAAGACAATACTCGAGTCATTGCAAGGCTTCAAATCTGAACAGGTATATTATTTTTTAGAAATATTTTTATTACTTCATTAATGCGAGTGTTATGTTGCATATTTTCTTGAATTGTACAATACTGACATCGTAGTGATCCGCCAAAAATATTTTAAATTTTATTCATTACCCTTACAAAGAAGCGTTTTTATGAACTTGTCTTATATACTCCGCGCGTGTAGCATTTTGATATTTGAATTGCTGCAGTACTCAGCATTTGTGAGCCATGTTAGATTTAAATTCGTTTCAATGGAAGGAATTTTTTGTCCTCTCGCCAGGTGATGAGTTTGGTTCAAGTGGCGAAGACAAACTTCGTGGTTTCTAAACTGTTGGCGAATGGACATCAGAAGGACTCGTCGTCGCCAATTTTGTTTGATTTCTCGCTTCATTCTCACTTTCCCGTGATGAAATTTTCGTAGATCGAAAGAAGGCGTAGGCTAGCTTTTTGTTTTTTTAATGCTTGTCTCGATCCGGCAACAGGCTGTGCGATTTCTCCCGCATCCGTTGAGAAGGACGTTGAGTCAGTCAGTACAGGGTTGTGTTCAAAAATTTTTTGGGGGACGTTGTGGTGAGATTCTTCTTTCGTTTTCCCTCTTAACCGGCAAGATGTTACCGCTATAATCATCGTCTTGTTTCCTGTCTTTCCGTTATTCCCTTCAAGGTTCTGTGTTTTCCGAACGTTGTTTAGACGAAGTTCTCACATCGAGAAGTTGACCTGCTTAATTTTAGGTGACCGATTAGCAAAAGTTATCGATGTTCAGAAAGGTTTTTTTTAGAAATGCCGAGATGCGCAAATGGAGCAGGTTTTTCTTCAGTTGATGACAACTTTTCTGGTTTATGTTGCAGATTTACCTGTTACTCTTGAAGAACCTTATTCCGTTTTCGGATTCTCCACGTGTAGGCTTTTTTTTTTTTTTTTTTTTTTTTTTTTGTTTTTTTTTTTTNTTTTTTTTTTTTTTTTTTTTTTTTTTTTTTTTTTTTTTTTGTGGAAAGGTGCTGCTGGTGAACGCGCGTTTTCCTTGTGTCTTACTTCTAGAGGCTTCCTGGAAAATTATATTTGTATTATTGGCTTTGAAAAGGAGCCACGTGTGCCCAAGGATGTCATTACTCCTAACAAAAAAGAACAGAGTGCTATTCTTGAACACCTTTTGTGCTGTATCGTTCGATTTCGAATAAGCTCACACGAAGCAGATTATGAAGATTCATGTGTAGAGGTAAAATTTAAATTCTTGGTCCAGTTCGTTTCGCTGCTTCGAAACCGTGTTTCGGCTTTGAAAGCGACAATTTTAGATGAAATCTATCTTTGATACGGCATGTATTCGTCCTGCCAAATTTTAATACTTTTCGGTCGCGTAACGGTGTCTCTTCTTATAATACTTAATCGTAGTGAACGCGGAATAAAGCGACATTTTTTTGCTGCCTCGTTCCCCCTCTGATAAGACGCGCGGGAATTTTTTTAGTGATGAAACAGCTGAACTCGAGCGTGAATGAAATGAGACTTCAGAAGAGGGAAGGGTGATTTTGTGCTTTTTCATATTTTTCGCTTTTTGGCCTTTCCCTTGAAATGACTAGCTTTTATAGGAAGTTTATTATAAAATGGGAAAGCCCGGCAAATCTCGGGTCAAATTTAAGCGTGACGACGCGGCTCCGCCGCGAGTCGAGGTGCCGAAAAGAAGCGCGAAGGCGGTAGAAGTCGCGTCCTCTGACGAGGAGGATACGGACGATGTTACCGGTATTAATTTTGTTCCTTGTGCCGTTTGGGTACCTCAAGGAGTATCCAAGAGAAACCCTGAAAAGGTAGAAAACATGCATACTTTGAAATGTTTCTTCTTGTGTGAAATGGTTCATTTTGCTTTCTTCTTTTTTTAGATTGAAATCACGAAAGAAGAGCTCAAGCGCATCATTGATGAAACCCGGAAAAATTTGAAGTGAGCACTATGTTTTTAGGAAAGTTCTTTATTATGATATTCGAAAATCTCTGCAAGTTGAATGGACGATGTTTCAAGATATCATTTGTCTAATAAAGTAAAAACACAAGAAGTACTCTTGCTAAATAGCTCCGTTGTGTCTGATAACGATTTAGTTTGGTCATTTTGAAAATTCCGAGACTTTTCGGAAGAATTCTGTTTATAACGTAAAAATAACCGAAATACGTTGAATTTTTAGCGCTCCGTGATAGTTAATATTATTTTACGTCGCTATCCTATGCTTGAATAGTTGCCATTTTTTGGGACACACTCAACTTTTCTTGTACCGAAAATTTAATGTTAATTACATTATAATCCTTCCCTACTGTGTTGCATTATCTTGTTTGCCTGTATTTCTTTTAGAGAACTGGAGGAAGAAGAGCGAGAAGAATCCTCTGAAGCGCAAATGGATGAGAATTCTGCTGGCGATGATGAAAATATTGAATCGAAGTACGGGTTCGATGATTATGATGGTTTGTGAAATTTTTGTTGTTCGCTTCATTTTTGAACAGTAAAAAAATCATTGAGGTGAGAAGCTACATATGAGATTTTTTTTCAGATGACAACGTGGACGACATGGGTTTTGCTGCCGCAACAACTTACGGGGATAATGCGGAAGATCCACTTTTAAAATCTGCGCCGGTTGGAAACGATTCCGATAGTGAAGAAGAAGATTTCGAGATTAAACCGAAGGATAACTTGATTGTCACAGGGCACTTCGAAGACCATTGCAGTAACTTGGAAATTTACGGTGAGCTAATTCTGCCGAACGGTATTATAATGAGTTCGAAATTTATTCGCTTAATTGAGAGTAATTCTTGCAGTGTATAATGCGGAAGATGCAAGTTTGTTTGTGCATCACGACCTGTTGCTTCCGTCGTGTCCATTGGCTCTGGAATGGATTGATGCTGGAATTTCTGGAGGAAAAGGTAGCGAGGAATTCCATTTTTCTCATACCTTTGTTTGTTGCATTAATTATGTATGCTTGCGTGAAATTTTGTATCAGGAAACCTGGTAGCAGTAGGTGCTTTAGATCCCGTTATTCAAGTATGGGACTTGGACGTCATTAACTGCCTAGAACCATGTTGCACTCTTGGGGAGAGAGGTTCCAAATTGAAGAAGAAGAAGAAATCTTCTCAGATCTTGGGTCATACTGATGCAGTTCTGGACCTATCGTGGAACAAGCTCAACAAGTTAGTACAATATTGCTGCGATCTGACCAGATAATCATTCTGACATCCCCATGAAGGATTGATCGTTCAGATTTAATAAATTAAAAGATTTTCCCATTACTAAAATTTGATTCTTTTGTTGGAAAATGTTCGTAGTTCCGTTGAATTTTTAGAAATAGTGAACGGCAATATTTTCGAAGAAAGTGTATTATTGATTTTTTGTGATCATGCAAGTGTTCTTAGATTCGCGTGATGTGTCCAAATCAATGCGTAATTGAAACAGTCGAGGTTTTCTGATGTAATTTAGCATTAATGAAGCTCAACTTCATAACTATTATATGCAAATTTTCTAGGGCTTATTTTATGGAGCCATTTCCTTATTTAATTCAGTATTCTTTTCTTTTTCGATGGGTGGTGGAAGGAAATAATCCTTGGTTCACGTTTTGAAAGCGAATCAAGGACGCAGGGTTTCCAATGGATTATATTTCGTATTGTTTGTGAGCGGATCCAGAAACATGATCAACTCATTTTCCAGACAGACGTTGGCCAGCGGATCCGTTGACCAAACAGCCATTCTATGGGACTTTCAGCAAGCCAAACCTTCCCGTCATTTGCGAGACTTCGAGGAAAAAGTGCAATGCGTTGTTTGGCACCAATCTGAAGTTCATTCATTGCTGACGGCATGTGCCGATGGGTGAGTTCAATTTACTCTCTTCATGCGCAAAAATGACTCGTCGAGTATAGATTATTCTAAAGCTGCTCAAGAGATCAACGAAGAAGCTCTCAGATATTATTTTGTTTCTATGATAGAAATGTATCGATTATGCATCTCATTTTCCGAGTAAAGTTATGGGAAAGTTTTGATCGGGATTCCCAAATCTTCCAGGAAAGCGCGTTTGTTCGACGCTCGTGCCGAATCAACGGCGGCAAATACTTGGAATTGCAAAGCAAGTGTGGACCGCGTTATTTGGGATCCGACAAATCCGACGCGTTTTATTGTAAGTTCTGATGCGAATTTCGATAATTGTACGCGTGACCTCGAAAAACTCGAGTTAAACCCCTCATCAGCCATGAAAAGCGGATTGCGTTGATGTTTTTGAATTTCGTATGTTTTTTATGCTTATTTAGTTTTTTCAAGATTTGTGAATTTCTGAAGGTGCTTAGACCCTGACTGGATGTACAGTACTTTACGATGACTCGAAGTAAGATGATCTTCTGGTTTCTGTTTTGTAGGCGGGACGAGAGGACGGGACAATTTCTTGTTTTGATGTCCGTCAGAAGAAGCCCCTGTGGCGTTTTCACGCCACCGCCGATAAATTCGCAGGTGATTCATGCATTCATTGAAGGAATTCCTGTCTGAATTCCTGAAGTTGAACTTCCTTCTTTCCTTATCAAAGATCGCAATAAAAAATTCTGTTCTAACCGAATGTCTCCTGTAGAAGTACATTTAAAGTATTAATTCATGTGTGAACTACTCCTGTGCATTTGATAAAAATTGAAAACATGCCTAATATTTTTCAAATTTATTTTGACTGTTACTGTTCAGTACAGTACTTCATTTGTATTTGATGTTGGGCATATACAGTATACTAGTATAGTACAATGCAGTATTATTATGTATCACATATTTATTTCGTAGATAAAGGTAATGACTTGTCCCGCGTTTCATAAATACACAATTGAATCCCTGAAACTGAATAATTCAGTCAATTTTTTTTTTAGATTTGGCGATGAGTGATTCGTGTCCTGGTTGTCTCGTGACTGGCTCCGAAGAGGGAGAAATTCAAATTTGGGACGCGGAGAAATTATGTCCGGAAACCGGGACACCGGTATTCATTGGACATCACGACATGAATGTAGGGAAAATTATGTTCTTGAGATTCTGCCCCGACGAGCCCTTCGTAGTGTGTGCTGGCGGAGATTCCAAGTGTAACTCGTTTAACGTTTGGGATCTTCGGAACACCGTCGGAGGTAAGTCTTTGTTCCTTTGTCTGTTAAAAATTATGTTCAGCGGCTCCTTTGATATTTTATGTGTGTTCCCAATTTTCTATGTTCGGCATATAGCTTAAAATAAATAAGATTGCAAATTAAAATGAACCCCGCTCCCCTTTTGTAATTCCTGAGAAGTGGGAACTCGGAGCAGGAATTGCATAACTGTCTTTCATAAACTGTACTGTACAGTGAAAGGATGCTAGGCAATTCCACAGTTACTTGAAAAATCGAGCATTCATGGTAGATGGCTGAAAAATCGTATACTGAAGAGATAACTGAAATACGTCGGTCGATGACGCATTGAAGTGGCATCTTCAGTAATTTTACATCAGATTTGCTTGGAATGACTGTCATCTGTCTGGATTGTTGATACGATTCAAGTGAAGAATAAAATTGATTCCTCTTGTGTCATTCAATTTCAAGAATCACCTATTTTACCTCTTGAATGATGCGAATGAACCACTTCTTTATCACGTTTGATAACAATGACCGTTGATTTTTATTCGCAGTCGTCCAACGATTCGGAGACAGAATAAGCGGTTCCCACGCTGTGGAAAAAACCGAACCGATGGAGGAGGATTCGTGATTGTAACGATTTAATTCGTCGAATAAATTGACGAACCTCACATCGCTTTCTTCAAATACCGACTGATAGCCCGTGTGACATTTTGTTATTACATTGACGGTTGATTGATTTTTTATGCTTATTCGTGAGGGAGTGTGTTTCAAAAACCGTTTCATCTTTTTCCTCGCGCGACGCGAGCAGATAAAAACGGATCGAAGTAGTGAAGCGCTAGACGCTATCGGAGAAAGTTCGGATGAAAAAACCTAAAAAATGTCGTTAATATTAAGTATATCCAAGACGTTTAATCATTGGCCAGAGCAACGTTCATCGCCAAATCGCGGTGATTACGTGTAAGTATCATTTTTCGTATTATGTATTCAAGTACTGTATTATCTCACATTTTTTCGTGATTCCAAAATCACTATGCATGCCTCGCGTTCCTTTTAATATTCATTATCTTTAAGATCTGCAACTTTGACGTTTCAAACTTTCCTACAGTGTTTGGATTTGAACTCGCTTTTCCTTCCATTCCCTTTGACGTGCTTTGTTGTTCATAAAAAAAATTCCTGACTTAACACATTGATTAGTTTCCTGGATTTACGTAAATAGATATACCGTAATTTTTAAATTTTCCATCTTTTTCACGCGAACTCTTCGAGTACGCTTTGTTCTTCGAGGTTCGACTGCTGTTGTTGTTTTTGCAGGAGGGATTTAAACATGCGAGGATTGACGGAAGTTGCGTCTACCGCTGAAAAAATGGTTCCCCCCGTGTTCTCGATTTGTCCCGGTGGTCCCGGGCCTCTGTGGTGCTCCTGATGCCCCCCATACCGCCAATGTTGTTCAACTGCGCTTCAGCAGTTGCACAGGGGGCAGCGGTGTGGGGTCCCTCAAAGAGCCTTCTGTGGTGGTACGTTACATCTGTTTCAACAGTTGAATTTTGGACGCACGTGACCACTGGACGATATCCATTAGAAACCTTGAATATTGTTAGATTTAAGGTTGGATCATCTTGAAAGAGTCTTCTGCATTAATTATAGTGGACACGTCTGAGTTCCCTACTTTTGAGTTCAACTCGTTTGAAATGAAATACTGTATGAGTTTTGATAGCCATGCCAGAGCACAATTCTTGATATCTAATGCTGTAATTTTTGTCTATCTCAAGAACTTTCTAGGTTGACCTGTAGATATATCATAATCCGTAGGCTTTAAATTGAATGATGCAGCGTAATTTGATTAAATATGTTCTAATGAAATTTTAATTGAAGAAATTTACCAAAATTTAGGCAATATTTGTGTAACAGCGAACATGTTAAACGTCAGGTGTTGGATTGGAAATCTAAAAATTCTAAATAATGCAGAAGCTGAGTTATGACCGTAGTATATTTTCCAATCGTCATTTAATTACTTTTGACTTCCTGAAGTGTCGTTTATCAAGCTTGATAAGTTGATCGGAGTGGGAGTAATGACTGATTGGTATGTTCGATTCGCAGACAAAAGATTTGTCCTATTTGCTACAATGTTGCGAAGTGGCTGATGTCCATTCGCAAGCCCTAAGGATCAACTACGAGCTTAGCCTGAGTGCGACGACAAGCGCCGTGTGGGAGACTGTTTATCGACAGAAGCGTCTATATGTCGCTCTCCAAACATCGAATGGCCATCTCCCAATGGCTTCCAAACAAGGGTGTGTATGTAGAATAGTTTGAAGCTGAACTCTTTGATGATGTAGCGGTATTTAAATTCTTTTCCATTTACCCGTTCATTCAATGACATCGTCAGTGAATTTTTTTCACCTTTATTTTCCTTTTTGCTCAGGTTCGTCACAATGCTGGAATTTGCGGAAGAGGAACTTGGCTGTTCAGAGATCATCGTCTGCATTCCGAAAGCGAATGCAGAAAGAGGTAAGCGGATATTTCTTCTGTTTCATTAGACCAAAGGCGAGAAGAAAAAAACAACGCTTTTTGAAACCAAATAATGATTTTTTTCACCGTATGACGAATGTAAACATTCACGTTTTCAACTTCATGCTAATTTGATTAATGATTTCCTTTTTTTCAGCGGCGTTGATGAAAACCTTCATGTTCCTTGGATTCTCAGTTTTGCCACCGAGCCACGAGTTCGTCGCACCATCGACCGACAAAATCTTCATGTGCTACTCTTTTGATTAAATCAAGAGCACGAGTGTAGATAGGAGCCAAACGAAGGACCCGTCGAACTTAGAGCCAATAATTGTTTGATCATAAAATTGAGGAATCCTTCAAGTTCGTAATTATGACGCCTCCGGGAGGTTAGAACGTATTCAGAAATGCGTACTTTCAGAATCGCCTGTGGGTTGATGTCCAGCGAGCGTGATTGTTTCATTTCTCAGTTTGGTCGAGCGTTTGCTGGTGGGGAGAATTAAATGATAGGGTTCCGATGGTCCTTTTTCTTTTCTGTAGGCAATTTGTCGGTCAATCGAAGCATTGTAGCTAATGGGATTAACTCTCTTGTCATTTTAACCTCTTTCTGTGTGGTGTTTCAAGTGTTCCTCTTAGTGTCGCACCAGTGGCACATTCGATACAAGGCTGCGTCTTTATGATGTAACAATTTATTCGAGAATGGAAATTGGGGAATGGTTTTTTTTACCGGCGGTGTGTTGTGTTCGGGTTCTCATGTTGGCGAGCAGGAGGATTTATTTTCGCATAAGGTTTTTTCGTTCAGACAAAAGCGGATTTCGATTCATTTCATTTTGTAAAGCTTCGTTTCCCTATTTAATTGGGAGATATTGTCGTTCAAAGTACGTGCAATCGTGGAAAGCTTCATTCTCTGTCCGGAAACATTTTCTTCTGTACTTCGCGCATTTCCGGACGATTCGAATTTTTCGTGGCGGTACTTGATTTTTCTATTTCCGAAGTATTTCGCTTGAGCATCCCGAGGTTAGCTACTTTAATTCTCTCACGAAACCCAGTTCAAGGTTGTCTGACTCGACACACGACGATACTCATGGTTGAACTTCTAAAAGTATGATCTACGTGACTAGTCTACCTTTTCAAGAAGTTATCCGAGAAAGTGTTGGGCGCTGCGGTCTTTTTTTCCTACTGCAAGTACCGTGCGAATCAATGTTGAAAACCGTGAATATGTTGACATTGGGAGAGCAAACCTGTTCGCGTTCTTTTTTGTTCTGTGAAAATTTTTCATGTCTGCTTTTCAATTGCGTTCGTAAACATGCGATCTTCAATGCCGGATTGATACTAGAATATATGACGCTATCGTCTACTTTTTTTTTGCTTTGTGTACGAGTGTAGAAGAAAAATATTGTAATTTGAGCTAGAGCTGAAGATTTTTTTTGTGCAGGGCTTCGATTTTCACATTTCTGGGAGCGGTTATGAGTGCTCGAGTAAGCGCGATTCCGTCGACTCCTTCAAACAGCAATGCCGAATCATCCGGAATTTGGCTACATGCCCAAGTCGAGCCAGGGCCTCCTGTGAGTTGTGTTTTAAATTTAAATTCAATATCTCACGGCTTTGAACTTTTGTAGAAAGTTACTGTGCGCCCGAATGGATGCTGCTTGTTGTTGATCAAGGATATTCTAAGGATGGAGAAAGGTCCTGGTAATGAATTCCGACTCACAACGAAGCTCGATAATGTCAAAGAGGTTTGCTTCGTTGGAATTCTACAGAGTTACAGAATTTTCGAGAAATTGTCACGTATTTACGGTGAGTCCCGTTGTGAAGTTTAGTCATCTGTATTGGGATCGGTTCGAAAAGCACGTGAAGGCGATGAGTCCTCATCGCAAGATTTTCTCTGTTTTTTGGGGAATTTTGTACATTATATGAGTACAAGCGTTCATACACTATTTGTAAAACAGAGAATAAATCACCTTAAATCGTTTAAACTTAGAAGGAAACTCCGATTTAGTAGAATTCTGGTGAATCGGTTAATTGTTCGGTTGTATGGATCCAATCTTGCTGGAGACGAGAATAAAAGCAATTTTCCCCTCCGTGCATCATTGAGAATGAAAATTTGATTTGAATGGAAAGTATTTTCAGACACTCTAGAAATATGACGAGTGCTTTTGATGGCGAACATCGTGGCGTCTCGAGTCATTTTGTATAGATCATGATAACCAAATTACGATGTAATTCTGTGATCCATTATTGATTACGTTCCCAATACGTATGCAAAGTTTTGAGCTTTCGTTGAGTTGTATGAAAATTTTATCATCAGTTAGCGACGGAACCGGTTCAATTGAATGCGTCGTTTTTCACGACAATGAGCCGCCGAGTCGAGAAGACGTTAGAGCGGCTGGTAAGGAATGTTGGTGGTTGACCCTCACATGGAAACTCGCTGCCGGGTTGGTTCTTCCGAACCCAAAAACTGGAACTGTGGTATGTGTTAATGGTCGTCTTCACGAACACAATAACAAGCTGGTGGTCAGAATCGATTCAATTGGTGAGTCTTGATGTTTCTCGCATGGGTGATGAATGAATCGTTGATTATTCCGTTTCAAAAGCTGCCCTGCTGTGAATCTGCGTCATGAAGCCTTATTTTTTTTTCCAGCTGAAATGAGCCAGAGCAGGATGAAGGTGACGATTGATGCAATGAAGAAAGCGTACGAATTGTATTCGTTGCCATTTCCTCGTTTGCTTGATGGTTACCAGTACGCGAGGGCGTTGTTCGATGAAAAGAGAGACATGTTGTCCTTGGAGACGGAGATACGCGCGCTATTGAAAGGTGCAGAGGAGGCTGTTCCTCGTCGCTCGCAAATTAAACACTGGGAAGTAATAACGCTTGATTGACGACGATGACGTGGAAGTGTGCTGGAAATTTTCTAGCATTTTTTTTGTCAATCGTGCCTTCCAAGTACATGTCGTCTGCAATTAATTATCGCTGTGATTCCTGGACTCATCTGGGAAAGTCGGCTGACATTTTCGATGCCTTTTTCATTGTAAATTGTACGTTATTCTTCAGCTGCTTCATTTTTATACTCGGAGGTGTCCTTTTTTCGTCGTATTAGAAAGAAGGATTTTCTGGGACACTCCGTGTATTCATAAATCTCTCTGGTTCAAAAATTATTATTTTTTTTACGCGATAAGATTTTTTTAACTAGTGAATTTTGTATTGTGACAGTTCTCGACTTCTGTTGTACTCATGACTGAGTCAATTTTGCGGTACAGCACGCGCGACGAACGATTTAATGTGTGCTTTGGTATTTCCAGGGTGTAGGAAGATTGAGAAGTGTGAAAATCTGTGACTGTTTCTATTACCGGCTTGTGGAACTTGGTTCTGTAGCTGGTACCCGATGGCGCTTGACGGCTACGTGAATCGTATCCTTTTCTAAAACATTTATTCAAGCAAAAATCTGAAGCTTGTCTCAGATGGTTTTGTTGATCGCCATGCCACTGTAATTGGCATTATAGTTGCTACCGTTGAAAATTCTTTTATCCTAGGACGGTTTTATCCTTAACTTCCGTTTCCTGTGCACAGAGACAGTTTCTATCATCACGTCCGATGGCAGAAATATTGTCGTAAGTTGGATTGCAGATTTAAAATGGGATCAATAGTAATTTCGTTGGTGTTTTTTTTTCAGGGTACTTTGAAAGGCTTTGATCAAGTATTGAACATTATTCTGGAAGACAGTCATGAACGTGTTTACAGCCAAACTCGAGGTGTTGAACAAGTGATCCTGGGCTTATATATCATCAGGGGCGACAATGTGTGAGTGTCGAAAAGATTATAGTCATATTTCTAGTGGATTGGAGGAACTTTTCAATTTCTTTTATGATTACATTTCAATGTTGTTCATCTGTCGGTAATGATCAAGCATTAAATGATGACTGAGGTAGATCCAAGTTCGATTTTCAAAAGAATTGTATAGGTTGTCTAGAAGACAAATTTGCAGTGGGAAAGGTAAGGTTAAGTACAAGTACAATAAGATTCACGTGCAACGAAGTCCATATATTTCTCGGACTTGTGAACATGTAGTCGTGAAATTTTGGTGAGAGAAAATATTGTCCTTCGATGGAAAAGAAAAAGTGTTCTCTCTCGTCTCCCCGAAAAATGACAAGGACATTTTTGAAATTTCAGGCGCATTATCTGGAATATTTTGGGCCTGATCAACACAGTAAGATTAAAGTTTTTTTTTTTCAAGGATTCCAAAAATTTTCCTCTGAATTCCGCCCGTATTGACGGCTGTGCTTTTAATTATTCTGTAGGCGCGTTTCACCAGTGGGAAATGGGAAAAATTTTGTCTATCCACTTGCAGGCCTTCTAAAACAGTACTTGGGGTGTAACCGGATGTTGATTTTTCCAATTCTCTCCCATAAGTGCGTGTGGTACACCTTCCCTTTGCGCGGATTTCCTATTCGGATGTTAATAATTTCCCGGAATTCTTGTGGGTCTAGTCGCGCATGAATCACTCAAAATATATGGTAGAATGACAATTGGTTTCTACTCATTAGCCTTCTGGAAACCTTTAATTTTCTGTTGATACAAATTCTCAAAATGTTACAATATTGTTAACTTCTTGGCGAAATTACTTGAATTATAAATACAGCACTCCGCTAAAATTGATGGTCAAAATTGAAGTTTCCCGTTGAAGTGCTCAAATTGAGGCGGGCATTATTGAGTCACTTCCAGTACTGTATATTGAAGTGGGCTTTCGCGAACGGAGTTCCACATCTTGATTAAGCGTGTCTCTCGCTACAAATCAATTTTAAAACGCGAAGTGTGGGATTCCTTCATTGTCCGTAGGGCAATCGTTGGCGAAGTGGACGTGGAAATGGACGAACGATTGGACCTCGCTGTAGTGAGAGCAGAGCCGTTGAATCCAATAGTTCACTAGCGGCATTCCGAGTGTTCTCTTTTTCTGTGAAGAAGTGCGGTCTTTGTTCCGCCAAACGCGCGTGTTGGGCGTTTTCTCGTTTTTTTTACACGTTGAGCTGCAAATGCACCGCGTTTGCAAATTTCTTTGCTAGGGTGCCACGTTGTTGCCAGTTCATTTCGAGTGATCGTTTTACGCCCGAAGACTTGGTTATCATCAACCAAAATCATAGAACTGAGTATTGAAATAGTACTCAACGTTTTTTTCCCTTTCGCTCAAAGCTGTCAAATGATATAAATCAGATCGAAACAAAGTCCAAGTGAACTGTAAAAATTTTAGGGACACCTGGTTTTCATGGCTCCGCAAGAATAGGTCCCCAACGAAAAGGGACCCGTCAGGGGACAGCGTAGTAAAGGAACCCGACGCGACATATTTTCGAGGGATTAGCTGGTCAATTGGACAAATGGGTGAGTGATCGATGGTCAGTTTTATTTTATATGTTTTTCAACAGCTTGTATCTACTGCAGGCAGAAGCACAATTTTAAACTGATTAGTGTTTATTTTTATGAAGATTGTTTATGTCATTTTCAGATTTTTTAGAAACAACACTAGCAGGAATACTGTACAATAATCTAACCAATATATTTTTTTTAATGTTAGGCTTGTGCAGTCCATGTGTATCTAAATTTGGGTGCCTACTGACCATCATTCCCTCACATTTTTTTCCCACAGCCCCACTTCCCCCTGGGGACTTTTTGTTTTGGGTGTACAGTATTTTCTACCCTCTTCTCCCGGATCCAGTTTCGTTGGGGACTCATCCTCCTGGGACGGGTTTTCATCTGCTGATGGCTTCAATCTAGAACCTTGTATCGTCGAATGGACGAGCGACTCCTGGAGTTCTCACGTTTTCTGTGGTAGTCCTGTAGTGAGCATAATTCGCCTGTCTGAGTGCAGTAGAAATTGATGGTAGGGAATTGAAAAAGGTAAAATTATGAGGTTGATTTATGAGCTGCCTTGTTCTCCTTCAATGTGCCAACGTCATCCATGCCATATTTACATGAAGCTGGATAATCGGAGTTCAGTCGTGGCAGAAAAACGCATGATTCAAGAAAAATGTGTCCAAAATTTCCAAAAGAGATGTGACTCAACTGAAAGGATCAAGGAATTCTTCTTGAGGTATTTTTCTCGGAGGCCTGGTCTGAATAAGATATCATAGTACTGTATCTTGTTTGTAATAACGAGTGAACGATTACAATAATGGTCCTTTTTTAGGTCCCTATATCCGATAGCCACAATTTTCAGTGGTACTTGATAACGAAACGGCTTCGTTGCAACGAGATTTTAGCGACTTGTGTGGATTTTGGAATGCGGTGCCACTTCATGAATGATAACGAACTTTCGCGCGAGTTTCAACTGGACGCTCATTGCCGTGATGCACTCACTGACATTGTTTTTCCCATATATTTGCTGCATTTTTTGATTTGATAAGTTATCTCTAGGCATGAGTCAAACAGCACATGCGTGTCGGGACTTAAAAGCGGTTGATGCCACACTGTTGGTTTCATTCAGTTTGATGTTGTATTTTGGTGACCGAGAGTATTTATCGCGGAAGAAAACGTTGAGACGAATTCGGGAAATCACGCCGAATTTACGCACTCCTCAGGTAAAAGAGCTTTTTATATCTGATGCAGTTGGAAGTTCGTGATTTATTCCCTCCAGATAATCCATTTTCAGATAGCCTGAATTCTTCGCAAGATGGAAAAGTCACGTAACGTGGAATCGAAAACTGTTGCGAAAAGTGACGATTTGCCGGAGACGGAAAGTGTTTCTGGAAGTGTAGATTTGGACGAACATTTGGCAGTAGTTCCGCCATGGGAAAAACAGTTCTCTTCCGTAGAATCGGAAGGAACCTTCTCTTCAACCACTTCTGAGCTTGATATTCCTCTCGAAAAACTTGCTATAAAGGAAGATGTTGCCATAAAAGAAGATTTTCAGGATATCCTGTTAAAAGGCAAAAGAGAGCTTGAAGCGACTGCTGCAGTAAAGGTTCATAATTTTTTTTTCATCAAGATTGAATTTTTCAATCAGACAAATTTGTTCATCCTGACAGAAGGTGGTTCAGTATCTTTTGGACGAAACCAAAGAAGAGGGGAAGTACAACAAAGTAGAGTTTGAGACCATTGGAAAAGCGAAAAAGAAGAAAGATGCAAAAACCTTGGCTGCTGAGGAAATGCTGGACAAGCTTTCAGGGGAAGACTCTGACAATGGCAAAGATTGTCTGTGGTGAGGATCAATTGATACAAGTTGCAACTGCCTCCATCAGATTAAGAACATGCTCTTTTTTTTGTTTCATTAAAGGCGATTGGAGAGGATTCGAACTGGGCAAAATGGGCTCTTGACAGCAGTTTCCAGTTTGCAGGAGTATTGCCAGAAATTTCAGCACGATTTGCCTTTATACGTGGAAGGCCCTGCGTGCGGGGCAATGTTTTCCGTTATCTGTAGGTTCAGTGGCAAACTTCGATTGCGTGGAAATGTTTAGTTTTGGTCGTCTGAAATGGTGTGATAGTTTTTTCACCTTATCGTGAACCGTGATGTCTGGGAATGAATTGAAAGCTTAAGCAATCAGTGTCAGGTTTCATTTCTCTATCCACGCTAAATGGTTCACAAAGTCACGCAAAACTCGGTATAATTCTTCATTACTCCTTGCAAAGATCCTTCAAAACGATCGACGAGCTTTCTGTCGGACTTCTGGGCAATTGAAGAAATTTCGAACGACAGCACCACACAAAACATAAATAATTACGCCTCATTGTATTTATCGCGTGAGACGAACAAATATTTGATGAAACTATTGATCATAATTATTCAAACAATAAATACGCATTGAAGCATGCATTGACGGTGCTTTTTAGAACCGTTCACTCAGCCCACCTACAGCAATACTGCTTGGTTCGTTGAAGAAGTGCTCCTTTTATGTGCAGAAGAATGTTGCTGCTTCTCATATAAATTTTATTTTTATCTTGAATAACGTAAGTGAAATGAACCTTTAGATTATTAGAAAATCTAGTACACTGCAATTAAGTTACTTGCGCCGGTTTGTAAATATATAATTGCCAGAAATCAACTGTGCATGAATTATGATTCCAATAGATCAAGACGAAAAAAATCAGAGGTGAATTGAATAAAATATAAAGCATTGGCTGATTTATTGTGCTATAGATGCTTGAAATTGAAAAAAATTTATGCAATTTACTCCTTTTGGTCAATTTTTGGTAGAATAAAAAAATTATCTGAATTTTGTCCAAGTTGAACAATTTGATCTTTTTGAAATTGAAAAATGTACTGTACCATTTTGGCATTCGTAATGTAAATGGCTGGAATACATGCAGTTGTACCTCCCTCAGCCAAATAACACCCAAAATGTTGAATTTGTTTCAAGTTCCTGTCTGAATTCCCCTAGAAACAATGCAATAAAAAACTCCATAACTCATCCCCCTCAAATCTCCATGACTTGAATTTTCTGGATGCCCTTTGGCTACCATTTTTTTGACGCAGGAAAGAAAAAAGCAAAAAATTTAACTTTGTTTCAACTTTTGAAAGGAAGTGAAAGACTAATTGAGCCCTTGCCTCCAAGTTCAGTATGCAGTAAACTCATTTAAGAAGCAATTTAAGGCCCCAAGTATTGCCAATTGAAGTTTTTAATCATTTTTCCCCCAACAAAAAGCCTCTTTTTCCCTAACTTGAATTTTTGCCAGTTCTTCAAAGTACTTGAGGGTTCAACTGCATTAGCTCAATTGGTGTCATGCATCTATCATTTTGACATATATCCTATAATTTGGGAAAAAAGAAAAACATGAAAACGTGTGCTTTTCAGTGTGTCTGAGGATTTTTAGCTGAAGTATTTCAGGGTAATACAGTATGTGCTTATCTTACCATTAAAACTCTATATCATAACCATATAGGTTTTTTTTGTGCCAGAGCCCAGACCTAAGATGGATTTTTCTGACTTATA